TTGCACGTGGTCTCTCTCTCTCTCTCTCTCTCTTGCTCGCTTGCTTGCTGGGTGTTTGGGGATTCGAAGTAGCGCCGGCCCCCCCCCCCCCCTGCGCGCATGCGCTACGCCGAAGTCACCGTCGAGAGCCGTCGGAGAAACTTGGTCAGCAGGCTCTATGATGCAGGTCAGGGGAAGGATCCCGAAATTTCCGGCAGAATGTGTTTTCAGACACTCGTGCAGATGTCGCGAACAGAACATTCCTGTGCGGTGTTGGGAACATTGGCTGAACTATCATCTTTCTTTCGCCAGGGCTGCGGTGGGGAGTTGCCCACCCCCACTTCATCTCTCTTCTTCTTCTACACAGCCGAAGGGAAGCAGGACGACCCCTGCTCCCCCTATCTCTCTCTCTCTCTCTCTCTCTCTCTCTCTCTGTCTCTTCTTCTACACAGCCGAAGGGAAGCAGGACGACCCCCGCTCCCCCTGCGCTCTCTTTCTTTCAGCAGGGCTAGGGGAGAGGGAGAACAAGCCCCCCTCACCTGCGCTCTCTCTCTCTCTCTCTCTCCCGGGCTTGGGGGTGGATCAGACCCCCGAGCATCAAGCCCACCCGCATGTGTTGGGCGAGAAGAGGGGTGTGAAGAACGAGTACAATGCATCCAAGGGTTCATGCCATAAAATATACGATAGAGTTCATCTCTCTCTCTGTCCCTCTCTCTCCCTCTCTCTCTTGTTGCCGAGTTGTGCCTGGCCTCGCTGTGCCTCCTTGATGAGCTCCGTCCAGCCTTTCGAAGGCCTGCAGGCAAAGAACGCGTGATGTCTCATTGTCCCGATCCTTTCCTCCGCGATCCTCACCCTGGAAGTGCTTGACCGGTAGATTCGACTCAAACACCCGATCGTTTTCGCGATGCCCGCTGAACATTGAGGGAAGATACAAGCTTACGGACAGCTCTCCGGCGCCCCCCTTGTCTCCGAGTCTCCCAAGCACCCAACTTAGTCTCGACTTAGGACGCAAGAAGAGCTGGACTCTTCCCGCCTGAGGTGTCGGGGTGTTCCTGGTCTTCGTGGCCCTCGCGGGGTGCCGGAGTGAAGGCGGCGAAGTGGCCTGTGGGAAAGGGGCAAGCTGGCGCAGCGGGCGGCTCTTGACACATTCCAAGCTTCCAAGCCGAGGCACTGGGCCCGAATCCGCCGAAGCCACCGAATCCAAAGCCTGTGGCCTCGTGGGAACAGCCGACCGGCAAGAGAGCTCAGCTTAGGCGCTCAGCTTAGGCTCGGGCACATGAATTTCCCCACTCGGGTCCTTCAGAACATGCTGACAACGCCTACGCCCTACGCAGACGGAAGCACTTCGCACCTACGCGAAGCACCCGACTTGGTGAAGGAGCCGCTGTCAGCGACGGAGGCGAGGACGGCAGAGGGCTTCTTGGCGCTTGACCTGGTACACTTTCGGCGGCAGGCACGCTGCAACACAACTCACATCTGTGCCGGGCTGCTTTCGCTGAACAACTGGACGCAACGCTTGGCCTGGACGGAGAGTCTCTAATCTATCTTGCCCTCAACCCCTTGCACCTGGGGCTGCAGCCAGGGTTGTTGGTACACCGAGCGTGCATTCACCTGGCACTCTGCCGTCTGAACCGTTGCTTGTCTTTCCTGTCCTCGAGCTTGCCAACTTCGAGCCAAAGATAGGCGGACCCTGACCCCACCTGCAGCTTGGTTCGCGGCAGCAAAGCGCCCACCCTGGGGAAGCGAAGGCGGCTTCACTGTTCCGGGGTCTGCCTGGGCCTCTGGGAGCTTCGTCTTCGCCTTGCCCACGCCCTCGTCTCGGTTAAGGCTGAGGCCGCAGAGCTGCCGGAGCTCAACCCAAAATGCTTCCTGCCCCTCGCGTCCCAAGCGGCCCTCGCGGCTCTCGCTCACGAGAACCCCGTGGCAGGGCGAGGCCACCGAATCGACCTCTGCCGGTGTCTGCGAAACAAAAGCCACGCCACCGTCGCTTCGCCATCGCAGCTGCTGCATGAGACTCGCCTTCGATTGAACGTGCTGTTTTTCTGTGCCCTCGAGAGGCGAAGGTTCCAGAACCAAGCGATCAAACTCCAGCTCCCCATGTGCAGTCTTCAAAGAGCCAAACACCTCCACGAAGTGCAGCAGCCCCTCCTGTTCCAAGACATATGCACATGCCCCAACCATGCCCTCCGTAATCACAGCCATCTTCACCTGCGCAGACATCTAAATAGCCGGTTTCCTGCCCTCTTGTGGCAAAATTTGAGTTCACGGCTATCTGCATGCAATCTCCTGTAGGTAAATACCCATGACGGATCAGACCCACCCTCGTCACAGCCTTTGCCTGAAGGATTTGCTTTCAGGCTACCCCACCTGCGGAAACTGCAAGCCCAAATGGTTCCAAGACCTCCAAACCCTAATTATCAAAGTCCTCTCTGTTCAGGAGCTTCCCCCATCTGCCTGGGCAGCCCGAAGTTCTTCGAAGAGGAAGCGCAGACAGCCCACACGGGCCGGACCTCATTCTACTGTGGCATTTCAACTCTGAAAAGTTCTCTTTATCAGCGTCTGCCACAAGTAAGTACACTTGTCAAAGGCCAGCACTACCCCCAAGGTGCCTCCCAGTGCACAGGCCGTCCACGAAGCAGTTGTGCTCGACGTCTGCGCCACCTGAACGGCATGACCATCGTAGACGAAGACGGGGCCGGCTTCATTTAGCATCTTCAGCCGGTGAATCTGCCCGCGCTCCGACAAAGCGTGGGGCGGGCGCACACCTGGCTCCCAGCCAGCTAGCTGCTTGAAGACATGGATCTTGGAAATGGTCTGGTCGAAATCGAAGTAGATGTGCTGAACCTTCGCCGACGTCCCTGCCAAGCTTGGATCGGGCATCGCTACCGCGCTGATCGGCGTGGCAGGTTTGTCTGGAGCAGGGGCCGGTGGAGTTTTGGGCTTGCTTGCCTCGGAAGCAGTGGCACGGGCTGTCACAGCCTTTGGAGGCAAGGTCACTGGACTTTCTGCAGCAGCGTTCTCTCTCGATGTGCCTGTCTTCGACATGAGCTCAGCGGGACGAATGCCGGCTAGCCGCCTCAGCTCGTTCATCTCGGTCTCCGTCATCCCGCGCCTCTCGGCCACGAA